GATGTGCACTACCCCGCCAAGCGCCCAATCCACCCCAGCATTTCCGATGACATAGTGAAACTCAACCGAGAATCTCACGCAACACAACACGAAGCGCTCACCTTTGTTCCACCGTAGACGCGGAATAATCCGCTATTCCATAAGTCAACCAGTAGCGAATGAGACTTACTACATATAGCGTCTCCTTATACGTATCGATACGCGGAAACGCACGTAGCACTGGTGACTTTATAGCTCGCAATACGGAATGAACGACAGGAGGTCATTGGAAATTGACGGCCGCTCGTCTCGGTTGTTCATGCGAGGATTTCTGACAGAAATCCAAAACGCCTCTAATGCCTTCCTAGCCGCAATCTCCGTCTCCCGCGCCAATATTGTGCACTTTATCGCAAAGTTGTCGCCGTTATGCACCTCAGCTTTATGCTTCCCAAGCGCTTTTGTAAGAATACCGCGCCTTATGCTGGCTAGCTGTTCTTTGAAAATAATGAGTAAAAAAAAGTAAAAGTAAAATAAAAAAATTAAGGCCGTCAGATAAATAGTTCCACCTAAAAAGCTCGTGAGGCACAATATAACATACTGAATTTATCCAGAATTTTTTTGCCCTTTCCTTCATACCTATACCGAGAACACATTGAACACCACTCGTATAACAACTGCAGCGAGCTGATGAGAGTTTCGGACAGTTTGGTAGAAGGAACGAAGCACTTATTTCGAACTTTCCTCAGAATTTTAAGCATGAACTTTCAGAAATCGGAGATTAAAAATTGAAGAGTGGCTCCTAACAAGACAGGTCTTTTCGCAACAGAAAAAAATCAAACTGTAAAGAGTGAGAACGAGAAATAAACTAGTTTCCCTACTTTGCTTTTGGAAGTGCCTGGGTGCTTATAAAAAAAGTTCCAAAACCTTCCCCTAAATGAAGAGTAGCAGAGCAAAAATATGCACAAATATCGATTGAATGTACATGTTTGAAAAGAATATAAATGAAGAAAAAGCTAAGATTGAAGCGTTTCGTTTTTAGTGCTGTCCAAACACACTTCGATTGCCGGCCGAACGGGAGTGGAGGTGACCGGGGGATGGGACGACGGGTGAGTTGACAGAAAATAGCTAGAGCCAATCGAGATGGTCTCGCCGTCAAGTTGTGTACAATGCGGATTTTGTCGCCCGTCAGAGCCTAATGCTAAAATTCGTCAAAACACGAAGTTTTTCAAGTATTCGTCGACAACAAAGCACATAAGAGCCTATCATAACATTGGTAAAAACCACCTTGTAAACAATAGCAGCAAACACTAGGACGAGCACGACTTATGGTAACTTAGGGCCCAAGTATGAGCTACAGACATTACCTCGTGAAAACAGGACTTGTCAGCCTGGCCAGCATAGAACATTCATTATCATTCAAATTTACTGCATTCAACGTCGGCGCAGAACTTGAGTCGATTGAAGGAAGGCACCCGTTGTGGCGCACGAGGAAGTCTCGTCAACCTCGTTCTGGGAATTCTCGAGAATGCCGTTCATATTATTCATATCCCTGTAATCTTCTCTGCAGGGTTTCAGAAAACATGAAGGACAACAGTGTCTTGCTTGGCTTTCTCTTCGGGAGGCCGAACTAATTTCATTAAACTCTTTCGCTCACACCAACAAAGTGCGTTTTAAGTATTCGGTTGTCGGTGCGGGAAAAGCATTTGTCACTTAATTTCGAACTCAACTTACTTCGCTCATTAGCAGAGAGCGGTAACGGTAATGGTAAGACTTGTACAACAAGGAAAAAGAGTGGTCTCTCTGTTAGTACCACTCGCTTGCCTCTTGCTCCTTCTTCTGCAATATGCACAAGGATTTTATCCGCTACCATCAGCCCCGACCCATCCAACAACTTCCACAAACTATTTCACCTACCACCCTGACGCCAGCGTGTTAGCTGCAGATGCCAAATTGATGGAGCTGAATGAGCACGATGCCCCCAACCATCGAGCAACCTTACCACGACAGTACTCTTCAAGGCGGGAGCCTAGGGAGCCTACAGTTTTGATGACGAAGTGAGGTTTGGGTTACCTGCAAACTCAGCTTGAGGGAGCTATGGGTCGGGAAACTGCTGGATGAAGAAGCTGCTTCCTTGGTCAAGGCGTACGCAAAGCAGCTACGAGATCTAAGGCGTATCGTGGATCAGAGGGAAAAATTTGTCCGCACAGCCGGCCCTCACCAAGAGAGTGCAACGCACTTGGTCCAAAAAAGTTCGAGCCGTACCTCATGCAATGGAGCTTGATCTCCCCTTGCAATTGTGTAGCACAGACATCGCCCCTTCTAATAGCAAGTTGCCTTCCGTAATCGATATGCGGACGAGAAAACCTCCATAACCCAAGTTCAAGTCGAAGTTGAGATGGTGTCCAACTTTGCGTCGTGTCTCCCTGCATAGTGAAGCGATGGCATCCATGAGGTGCTCAAACAGTGGCAAGGACCCCGCAGTTACATTGCTGTACAATTTTGATCTTTTACTCCTCTCTATAAAAAGAAAGCCTAGTTTGAAAAAATGTGACAGAACTTTCCCGCCAACCTAATATTATAAAAGCACGGCCAGTATTTTCTAGGACACTTTGGAAATTAAGCCATGAGAGTTGATTAAGCTGACCTGTTAGCGCAATGCTATAGAGTATAACTTTATGTTGAGTAATAATCCTGAAATCCTCCTGGATAGCTGCCAGTGGCGGTGTTCTATGTACATAGTTCTAGCTCTTACTCTGACCCTCCATGTGGGTGGGGTGTTCCTCATATGGATATAACTCGCTAGACTGTCCCTCCCTTCTCTATCCTACCTACCATTCCCCAAGTTTCTAAACTTCCTACCACTTTCAACAATTTCTTCCGGTTGCCTCAAAAAACTGGTGGGGGGTCGTCATCAACCGTATACTAATTGCACCTATCAGGAACAGTAGTTGTATTGCAGTTCTGTAGCGCCGGCTACGGGCGGGGGAGGGAACTACCCGTGCAATCCCTTTCCGAGCGGTGATGTACGGCCCCTGGTTTTCCTTCCAACAAGGCTGTACATTGCTTTTATCTCAGCCACTGGCGCAGGCGACAATCGCTCTTGCTAGGCGGTAAGGGTTTCCCCACTCGTCAACGAGACGAATTACAACTTTTTGCAGCAAGTGCCTCTTCTATGAAGGCGCGCTCCGCCCACAATGGGCGAGTCACTACACTTCTCATACAAGCTAAACTCTTCTCAAGTGCTCCTCTTTCCCTCCAACTACTATTCGGTTTCCAAATTTTATCAGGAATAATCTGTTCCTGATAGAGTTTGGGAAGCAGAATCAGGAATCTCTGAAACAAGCACCGATTGTTGCAAGTGTCCCCCCACATTTCATTCCTTCATCCACCAAAGACTTTTACTCACTCTTTTCCGAACTCTGGGCTGTCTTGCAACCGTGGTATAAAATTTTTCTGCGATATAAAAAAAACACATTTCCACTTTCTTCTGACACACGCCCTGCCTGCCACGGGCAGGGCTTCGATTGGCTGCTAGTACTCTGTACACTCTAATCCTACCCTGCGCAAACCCACCTAAACTGGATACTCCAAGTGGCTTACAGGCGATAACGAATTCCTGGAAAAACAGACGGACAGGCGGACGGACTGAGAAGATAGACGGATGGGAAGAGGCAGGAAATCATTTACACTCCTTATCCCTGAGCCAGGGTAGGCGTGGCATTTGAACATGGCACGGAACTGGTTACTCGTGTAATATTCCAGTCTATGACAACTGTCATCTTGTTCTGTGTTGGACAAGACACGAAAACAATTTTGTCAGGATGAAAATATCTTACCAGAGGCGTAGACTCCTTCAGGTTAAGTTCAAGGATGCAGCCACACCTACCCGATCTCAGGGATTTCGAGTATATTGTAGGCGAATAACGCCCCGTCTAAGGATAAGTAATTATTTCTCGAGGTTTTCGGCATCTATGGTCGTACTGAAATAGCGTACTATGTACCGCTGCGGGTCGCCGTCTACGGGGAAGGCTTTCTTTGCGCGATGCCGCTGCTCGGATGTCCTGAACTACACGCTATGAGAGGGAAGCAGTCTGCTCTTTGATAGCGGGAACATTCATGCGGTAGTAGCACCAGTTGTCAAAAACATGCCTCTTTTGCCCTCCCCTAGAATTATTCGTCTATTTTCCCCTATGGGAAAAAATGTACCTGTTTTGGTTGTCCCGTCCATTGGCCCTTCTATAACCAACGTTGCACTGAACCAATGTGGCTTTTGAAATAGTTCTAGATTTTGCATTTTTGATAGGGCACAAGTTTCATCCCTACCCTACCACTCCTTCTCGCATTTTTATCTTTCTCAGAAAGCTCTCGCACTTTTACCCATGAAAAAAACTACTCTGTATTTGTCCAATCCACCATATACATGCGTTGTAGGGTTTAAATTTAGTCCGATCAGTTCTTATCATTTTAATGGGAGCTCTATGACCCGTAATGGCGCAGCGCGTGGTATCACGTCACATATGAGCACTGATAACAGCAATACTAATAACTAGTTCACGTGAACAAGTACCAAATAGTTTATTTGTCGAATGTGATTCGAACATAACCCTTTGTATGTACACTACACGTATTGACGTTTAAGCGATAACTGAAATCTAAAAAAAGGAAACTTCCACAAACTGCTACAGAACAGTCATACTGTAAACTGTGTAAGTCACAACTGTACTGAGCAATGTTACTCTTTAATAAATAGAAATACCCCATCCAAAGTGATCACTGTTATAGTGAAGAACAACACTGAGACAGCTAACGAAACCAATTAGCTCGGATAACTTTTAATTATCTTGGTTCCATTTGATAAGCTTCATGACTTGGTAATACTGATGATCGGTAATGATTCTCATAAACAACGATGTTCCTGCTCATGAAATCATTAACAAACCACTAATTATCATTAGCGAAGTAGATCAAAAATCACCACATTGATGTAGTTGTCATTTTGCACAAGTAAGAAGTATTCTGAGCTAGTGGGGCCGATGCCTCTTATGCCGGCAATCACGTTCTTCATTACCAAAGTTGATTTCCATGTTAATTGACCCGATATCCATCCATTCCGTGATCGTACCATTATTGATGTACTTAGCCGGGAGCATCCAGTACACACGACGTTTACATGCCTAGAAATAGTTGGTTACTGTAATTATAAACTGTAAACAAATCGAGTAAGAACTGTTTCCAGAACCACCAGAACTGTGCCTTCACGACGCCGGTAGGCGTGTCTGCGTACTTCGTTGGAACATGGCGTGGGATTGCCTTATTCGAGGGCATTCCAATCAGGATAAACTTTCATCTTGGCCGGCTTTGCACAAAAGGCCATAATTACAATTGTCTCAAAGTGTCAAAGCTGTCACCAAAGCGCAGCCACCGAAGAGTTCACATTGTGAACTACGCCAGCCGCTCCTGTCACAATCTCAAGATTTGCGTACCGTATTCAGCCATAAAAGTCATGTGAGGTAGTCTAACCCAGACTTTCGCAGGCGAGCCGAGAAATTAAATAGAAACTGTTCGTTTTTGTTCCACTCTTCACTAAAAAAAAACTAGTCTCCAAGCGTAACTTCATCATTACCAGTATAAATTTTGAGTTACAGGAGCCACAGTCTACGTAGCCTCTCTCTTCAAGGAACGTCGACTTCGTTTTTTATGACCGATTTAATGATCGATGTAAGCTTTTAACAAGGTTGTTAAGGGGACATTTTATGGCCTCAGTGTTAGCACACGGCCTCAATGTCTATAATTATTGTAGCCGATAATTATCAATCATGGTTCCACCTAATTATTTTGCAGGATTAAAAGAAGCATCAAAGAAAGCTGTTTTGAGGGGCCTTTAAAGCCTCAGTATGCACTACAAGAGAGGATCGGACTGTGCATTTTTCACTACTGGAGAACTGGAGGAGCTAGCTGGTTCTTCCCGCCTCATCCATGCGAGCGTGACAGGAGGCTATCAAAGACGCTCAGTAGCGGACAGAAGCTTCCAGAACAGAACTATAGTCGACTTACTCGGCCATATCAGCATTCTAAACCAGGCGAAGTCCGTCAACTTTACCCACTGCGAACTTTAGAATGAGGGTAGATCGATAGAGTCTATAAGGTTATTTACAAATATAGATAGCAAAACTGCAACCTGCATTTCACAAGCAACTTATGAGCAGGTAAAGTTTGTAATGGTGCAGTAGGGTGGAGGCTTGGTGGTGAGCTGTGAAGCATAAGCGTGGTGGTTCAGTGGTAAGGTTCGACGTTCGACGACTCGATTCGACGTATGCGATTCCTCGCTTATGCTTCACAGCTCACCACCAAGCCTCCACCCTACTGCACCATTACAAACTTTACCTGCTCATAAGTTGCTTGTGAAATGCAGGTTGCAGTTTTGCTATCTATATTTGTAAATAACCTTATAGACTCTATCGATCTACCCAGGTCTCCATTCAAAGTTCCATGGTAAGTTGGCGGACTTCCCTGGTAAGATAATCACGAGCTGAAGTGAACGGGAAAGGCACAGCCCAACATGCCGGGATACCAGCTAAATGTCTCATGGCGCAAAAGGTTGAATGGACAAGGTATCTGGAATCACCCAATGCCTCCCTGGGATGCGCCACACATTCCGCTTGCATTTGGAATTGTGGTGGCTTTTGAAAGAAACTTAATCTATGGAGAACAACTTGTAAAGTCACAAGCCATTGTTTTTTTTCACACCCAGAGAAGTCTTAACCCAATTAATCACTCCGAATGGTACTCCCTATGAATGAAATTCTCAAAATGTCGTCTTCTGTGAGGGGGGGGGGGGGGGGAGTCAGGAAGTTTTATAGAGTTTGACCTATGGGTGCCACCAGGTTTCTGCACACTACCCTACCCGCAAGCTGAATAGTGAGTAACACCTGTTGTATAGCATGAACTTGATTTCAGTGATTGTGAAATTGAACTCTGCTTGGCCATTGAAGTGGGGAAAAATAGTGTTTCTGAACTATTAATAAGTTTTTATTTATCGGATTGTAGTTTCATCATACCTTGTACTTGTGTCCACAGTCATGGTAGATTTTGAGAGCGGGCTCTATTTGGGTGTCTTCGTGAGTACCCCCTCTCAGGTAGAATATTCCGTCATCTCCTGTCTTTGCTTGATCTAGTAAGTCGTCCTTATCTGCACCTGTAATTTGAAAATGTAAAAACCTGAATAATTGTTAAAGCTACATCTTATAATTATTACGGATCAGAGCTTTGAAATCTGGGGGGAAGGTAATCATCAAGCATATCAGGTAGCCAGTAAATTACTCTTGTATACCCAGTACTGACAACATCACATTACAATTAATAATACTGCAAAGCTAACCACTGAGAAACAACTGAGAACTCATTACACCTTCAGACCTCCTATCTCTTCTTTTCCAAGATGTATGCAGCTCTCAAGATAATCTCCTCTTGTGAAGTACCTGTTGTACTTATCTCACCTACCTGAAGCCCATAAATGAAGCTTAAATTATGAAAAGGGTGGAGATCAAAGTAATTGACGGTGGAAGGGCATTCTTGGAGGTGAAAATGAGAGCTAGTTCCTTCAGTGAGGATAACGCTGTAAGAATAGGGCGATTCAACGCGCCATTCAAAAAGTTTAAGCCAAACTAAAGAAGACGAGATTACAGTAACATTACCATGATCTCGATCAACAATCTTGAGAATTGCTCCACTTAATGGTTTATCACCACACATTAGTCGTCCTTTCACAGCAACTCCTTGCAGCTCAGTGATGGGTACTTTTGGCAAGTCTGGATTGCTCTGCTTGGTCAGCCATGGAATGAGTGTGAGCACTAAAAGCACTTTCATCTCGAGCCTAAATTCATTGTAATAAGTAAATTACAACAATCCAGCATACAATCGAGTAGTGTAGCGCACGCAACATGAAATGCATCCAAAAGATTCATCCGCGCAAACCCTTTCAGGTGTGATGAACTCCAAGTCCACAAGTTAACCGAATCTACTGAGCCCTTTCCCCATCAGAAGAGGTGGCGCTTTGCAAATGAGCGACCACGACAAGGTCAACTGCGATCTTATTCTTGTGGAGGCAGAGATCCATTCCTTATACCCGGCTGGAATGAAATTCATCACATGCAGGCGCGACACATCGCGGCTATCGTAGGTCAAAGCTGAAAAATCAGTATAGTGTGCGAGGGCTGTTCAAAGTGTTCTCGGTGTCGGGGTAATTCAACAGTGAGACGAAAGGAAGTTCCGAATCATCGTCCAATAGGAGACGATCACCATTCCCATGTAGCTTTGCTGAACAATGAGCATCAGATGATTTGATGCGACAATTTCGAGAAAACGTTGCCAAAAAAATCGAGAAAAATGAAAAGAAAATGCAGAAAATGATTAATGGTCACTTCTTTCCCCCTACCTAAAAAGACCTTCGCGGAAAGCGTTTTTTTTTTGAAGATGAGGAGCTGGAAGCGGCAATTACTTCCAACTTTTTTTGGGACAAGATGAAAAAATATTTTCTAGATGGTATAGGAAATTTAGTTCCCAGAGCAAGCAGCAAGCAAGTGTATTAAGGTTGAAGCGGATTACATTGAAAAATAAGTTCTAATTGAAATTTTCCGCCATTTTTTCATACCTATGCCGAGAATAAATTGAACACCTCTCGTACAACCATTGTTATGATGTGAAATGCCCTATTCCCGGCAACAAACATCCTTCCTTCTTTCAAACTTTTGTTCATCTAGCGTACAAAATCCCTTCCCCTCAGTTCAATTTACGTGATGCCTCTATACTGAACCGAATTTTGTTTCCGCACCAAATTTTTTCGTTTTGAAGGAATCGAACGGCTCTTCGGGGTATAAACTTCTAGTCGACGTAACCGAGAGGAACAAACCGGATGAGTTAAAAAAAATCCGATCAAAGTAAAGTAAGGTGGGTGTCTGAGAGTTGAGGAGTTCCAAGGCTCCTTGGAGGAGGAAATGAAAACATAGATTAATAAATGAAATGTGATGATGAAATAATGAAATGCGGACGAAAAGAGAACTGTACGAAAAAGTTTCAGTCACCTTATCGTAGTTTCAGTCACCTTATTCAGTCACCTTATTTTCACTGGCAAGGCTAGCGGTGACGCGGGCGCACACAGCAACAGCAGCACAGCTTTGGCTTTTTGGTTTTTTTCTACTTACAGATGTGAACAAACAAAACATGCAGAAGTAAAAAGAGAAAGAAATTGCGACGCTGCTGGCGAAGGCGCGTCCTATACACGGGTGCGCCTTATACCCTAAAAAATGTTTCTTATGCAGCTGTAAATGGTCTAAACAATATTCCCTGCCTATGGCGCATGTTAAAAAGTAGCTTCCCTTCTAACTAGTGACACAAAAAAATGGAATTGCTGTTAAACTGTTACTTATAGAGAAGCCGTAATCGAACTGGCCAGGAATGCTAGTGCAAGATTGAGAACAGAGAGACCACTGCACAGCAGCACCTGTAAATCACAGTAAACAGCTGATAAGAGTAGCCCTATGTGAAAAGCGTCATTTGTCGACGACAATTCGGCTCTGCGACATGAAGAACTCCTTAAAGACAATTCCTGCGTTTAAGTGTTACGGGTAGTAGTGCTCAGTCATGAACCAGTAGCCCATAAGTAACTTCAGTGAAGAGAGAAACAAAAAAAAACCTTTGGAACGCTCCGAATAGAGACACTCTTAGCAGTGGAGCCGTCGCCTTGGACGAGTTTGCGGACGTCGGCAAGCCCAGTCAGCAGGATTCCGACGTGCAACCTAATTCGGCAAGAGCACAGGAAATTGCCCTACGACGCTCCAGGCAACGCTATGTACACACGCAATTCCGCTTGTAAGCCGTTGTCTTGCAGAGTGAAAGTAATCGTGGTTGCAATGGTTGCAATAATCACGCGTCTCTAGCTTCTTTATCTCGCCGTTTCGAGTGACGAAAGTGGTATATTCTCTGCGAATGCGGACAACGATGCCAAATGCACGGAGGCATTTCGCGGACCACTTGATCGCGGAAACTCCCTTTGAAGGCAGTTGGCACGATGATTTGGTGCTCGGCCTAAAATGCTAGTAGGGCGCTATATAGTGGGGGAAATGGCGGAGTGAAACGGTCAAAATCCTGCGAAGAAAGAGCCTCCGTTCTCATATTTTTTACGAGTTTCCTGTAGGCATCTTGCCAATAACCGCTACCGAAGGTACGGCTGCATATGTGTACTCATATATCCATGCAGCATCACGGCCGCTTCATACCAATCCCTTCGCTTCATAATTTGCTTAGCAAATGAATTAGAGCGTCAGGAACGGTCGTCCATTTGTGGGCGGGCGTTTGGGTCGGTATGTTGTGGCTTGATAGGGCCCTTATAAGGGCACCTCCTTGGAAAAGGCATTATGCAGCGCCTGCTCAGGGTCGCGGAATTCCGTCCTGCCAGGCGTATTAATCCTACTCGTCTTGGGGGATTTATCGTGCCAACTGCCTTTAAAGCTACACTATACGGTGGATAGTCATAGTGAATGTAGAGCGAAGAGAGAAATACAGTGGGCTAATTGACTGAGCAATGATGAAGATGAAAGCAGGGAAGGCGCCTCAAAAAGCCCTCCTACCTACAATTGATTGTGATCACATAATATGGATAGTCCAACAAAAGTAAGTGTGACGCGTCGCGTCAATTTTGTGTAGGACTATCTTTGTCGCTTCACTCATTTTCCATTTCGTCTTCTTCTTTTACCTCTAGTCTATCGTGTGCAGGAGTGTCTCGCTTCTTCGAGTGCTCACCTGGTTTAGGGCATTCATAGGGGAGCCTAATTCAGCGAGCCGTTCGTGCGTTCCCTTCTCCTTCGATAACTTACCTACACGAATTAATATTTGGACCCCAAATCCGCTAATTGCAACTGTGCTCGTGTGCTTTGTACACGTCTTGTCCTAGTCCCCAGTTGAGGCCCATTTACTGTTTCCGACCAGTTCCTCCACCCCCATACTCGGCTGATCTCCTTGGCTTCGGTGGCACTTGCGCCTAGTTTGCGCTCATGAAGCAACAAGAAACGCCTTTGTCCCAGTTCGTTATTTGTAGAAACATTCCCGCAGGTGAAGTGTCTAGGCTTTGGTCCATTGAACGGAGGAAGGTGTTCTTCTAGTCTTTTTTGCACATTTTACCCTTTGAACTGATTTTTGAAAAAACTTTTATTATGTAGATGTTGACATGAATAAAAAGCTACAAAAAGTAAGCAAAATGTA